GAGCAACAACACCGGCAATACTTTGTTGGGCACTCAGTGTGGTCGAACCGTGCTCATACAACAACGAACGTTCACGATAGGTCAAGAGACCCCAATTTTCCATAGCACCAGCAGAGAAATCAGGAATGGCAGCCATATGCATTTTATCGTTACCCAACGAGTAATAGGGCAAATCGAAGTAGTCATCGAATGCCTTCAACGTCAATTGACCCACATCGAAAGCGTATTCAGTTTGATGATAGAATTCCGGACGGGCGATGACACCAAATTCACCATTGAAACGTTCATTGAATTCCGAGACAATGAAGGCCAAGATGTAGGTGGGCATATTGGGTGTGGTCATATAACGATCGGTAACGTAATCACTGGGGGATATAAGAAATTAAGTATATTTTAGAAATATGTTCGGAAAATTCGTAGAGTTCTATGTTGTCTTACCCATCAGTGGTACTGCTGGCCAAGCGGGTGTTGGCGTAAGTCTTCATGCTCTTGTGGCGGACAAGGGTTACATCGAAGGTGGCTCTGAAGCGGGGTTCATCGAATGAGGGGAAGGCACGACGGGCTTCATTACGTTGGAATTGGGTTGAACCAAGCCATCTGCAAAGAGAATACACATTTGTGAATAAAATTTGAAGTCTAACTCTGCACAGTGTAAATGCATTTTTTGTGCAGAAAATAAAACCTCTTCCTCAGAGGAAGAGGTTTTTTCTGTGAAGCAAAAAAAAATCCTCTCAATTTGAGAACCTATTTTTTTGAAAAAAAATTGTAGCTGACTAGAATTTTTTTGTTTTTGACATTCTACTCACTTAGTGTTACCCTTGGGATCAACATAGGAACTGCGATAGAAACCATGCATATCATCATCCATGGTACCGGTGTAGATGAAATGCAAAACATATTCCTGACCGGCAACCAATTGATTGGTCAATTGATAGGTTACAATATCGGTGACAGTGTTAGGTTCGGCATTGGGAAGGGTGAATTTTACAGTTGGATTACTCTTAGCATAATATTCACGCAATGTATACTTCAAGTTACGGCTATGCAATACCAAGTTATTGGTATTTACACTGGACTTGATGGTAATGTAACATTCACCATCGAAAGTGAATTGTTTTGCACCGTCGCTGTCCATCAAATAGGGTTTCAGAGTAATATTATAGTTACTGGGTGTAATGATGGTGGGTAAACGATAATTTTCTTCAGCATAGGGAGCAATTGGTTCCACCTCTTCGGCGAGAGGGGCAGCTGTGCTCAGGCACAAGCTAACTGCCAACAAGGCAGCTACAATGGCGAACTTCATTTTGAAAGATCTGAAAAGAGGAAAAACGTAGAACATTTGTTGAATCCTATTAAGGTCCTTGAAAAATATAAATATTTTAGTATTTGGAAAAAGTATTTTAAACCAGTGAGTGGAGCAGTATAGTCGGACGGAGCCGACCATATGATACCCTACACAACTTCCACGAAAATATAACTTTCTGTGGTTCTATATTCTGAGCTTGGGCAATACTTCGTGATATTTGCAACAGGCATGTTTATTCTTCGGCCCGATCCTCTTCTCCATGTCAAATTTCGCGATGTTGGGGTCATAATTGCGGCCTCTGGAGCGACCAGAAAATCAGACAAAAATAAAGTTTTTGGTCCATTTCATCCCCTAAATATTTAATAGGGGTCTTAATTGGGCAGAACCCATCCTACATGCTAAATTTCGTGAAGATTGGTCCATAACTGTGGCCTGTATCGTGTTTGCAAATTATAATGGACAGACGGACGGACGGACACACATGTCTAGATTGACTCAGCTAGTCGAGATATGACGATCGGTATACTTAAAGGTGGGTCTAGGACCAATATTTCGCGGCGTTACAAACTCTTGGGGCTGCATAAAGCTATAATACCCTGACAACATAGTTGTGTAGGGTATACAAATCTACGCCTTTAATAGTCTTTGGAAAAAGTATTTTAAAAAATATCTACTCAAAAAAAAGTTATTGCTAGTATTAGGAAAAAATATTTTTAAAATATCTAAACTTGTAATGGTCCTGGGAAGAACATATTTTAAAAATGTAAGGCCTATGTTAATAGCCCAGCGGCAATTAAAGAACTCAAATATAGAATTAGTGAGGTTAGGGCAGCCACTAAGCGATTATTTTAAAAAATCTACGCAAAAAAGTCCTTACTAGTATTTGGAAAAAAAATATTTTTAAAATATCTAAACTTGTAATGGTCCTTAAAAATGTGAGGCCTCAAATAGCCCAGCGGCAATTAAAGAACTCAAATATATAATTAGTGAGGTTAGGACAGCCACTAAGCGATTTGGTCATGCACAATTTCATGAAACGGTTATGACCCTGTAAAACCCCTCGTGTTGGTCATTTGGCTGATATCGTGGTTCATTATTTAATTTTTACCAAACATCGGATATTTTATCTCAAAATAAGGCATTTTTCTTTGAATACCAAAATAACACTTCGTCTTTGAAATACTCGTTGAAAACTGTAGATTTTTTTTTAAAAAATTTTTATTGAGTTGACTTCATCGATTTTTTATATTATTATATTTATATTATTTATTATTTTATGTTATTTATTATTTTATATTATTTATTATTTTATATATTAAGATATTTTTATTAATATATTTCTAAAACTATATATGTTTTATTTTTATAAATAATTTTTCTTCCAGTTTTTTTCCAACTCTAATGTATTTCACAACATTTCACTAAAACACTTTTTATGTTTTTTCATTCATTTATTTATTTTTCCACTTCACTCTCTCTCCACCTGATCTCCACCTTTTGTATACGCACCTCTTTACAGGATCCTTTGCTGTCGGGGAGTGTTATATTCTGCAAATATGGCCAATAACTTTCGGCCCACTGAAAGCTAGCTGCCAAAAGCAGTGGTATTTATAACAAATATCAACTCTTGTTTTTTCGATTTCATTTGAAGTTATCTCAAGAATTGTATTTTATGGGCCATCTCTGATAAGGCCACATCGTCGTTTAGCTGATTTTACAATACATTATGTCGTATTGTGAGTACTAACTGCCTGGCTAGCAATGCAGATCGTCAAAAGTGTGAGCAAACGGGTAAAAGACAAACAAATAATAATTGTTGTTAGCCATTCATTGCTCCACTGTCGGTCGGTTGGTTCGCAGGTTGTTTGTTTGCTCGTCATAATAATTATGCCTTTTTTCCATGTCATATAAATTGCTCGTATTGCCAATATATATATATATATATACACGCGCCAATCTACACCGATGTTCGTAAATATAGCTTGCGGATTTTTCTTTTTCCTGAATGTATAAAAATGTTCCTTCAAATTCTTATCAGTTTTTTTAAGGAAACATCCACTTATACCTGTGAACGTTGACCACAAAGAAAAATATGGCTAGCGACATTTGTTGAATTTAAGTGGTTCTGAAAAAATAAATAGATAATAACATATACTTTTTTAAATATTTTTAAGCATTGAAAATATGTATATATATTTTTAAATATCCCTCGGGGATATTTGATTCTTTACAAAAATTTATTTTCTTTGCCGAATGTGGCGCCCAACATTGTCACAATTCATTTATACAACTAAAAGTCTATAACATGTCAATTATTTTGTCAAAATACATAAATCAGTATTTATGACAGTATTGATAGTATGTAGGTATTTACATGCTTAAAGTGTTACATAATTTTACAACAGATCTTAAAGTTTACCTAATGCATTGCTGTACGTGTTTCGAATTACGGTTACTAATCGAAATGTTAGAGCCTCGTTTCGAATTACAGTTAGTGATTGAAACCTAAGGTATTATCTTAAATTGATTTATTCCATGAAATATATGAAGGGCATAACGTCAGGCTTATATTGTGAAACAAATGTTAAATAATCTGACATATCGACGCCTCCGAACCATAGTATGCTAAGTCTGAAAAGTGAGTTTTTTAGTAGAAGCTTTCAAAGTATGGACGTTTCTTTAAGCGTACGTGCCACGCTAAGTACATTTTTGCTTATAACTTTGGATTGGCCGATGATTACCAAAATTTCAGTGAATTTAAATTAAGGACCGTAGTATCTAAAAACGTAAAGAACTTTAAAACATGCTAAGTCGACTTAGCATTCTATGGTTCGGAGGCGTCGATATGTTTTCTTTTAAAAAAATAAAAAATAAATAAATCATCATAAAGGACATTTTCATGTAGGAAACCATTGTTTTGAACTGAGCTTATTTTTTTGAAAAAATCTTCAGCCATAAATTTATTTGATCATACAGCCCATCTCAAAGGAGAAATAAATAAAAAATGTTGCATGAATGATCTTTCGCCCTAAAAGGCATAAAACTCAAAAATTGCAACTTGAGTCCGGCTGGGATTTGAACACTAGTTCATATGGCATATCTTAATTGTTGTCCGGCGCCTTAGAGTTCAAAGCTATCTCCTCCTCTTTATAAGGTTTCACAATATGACGTTGTATACATACCATGAAAGAATAATATTTTAGGTTGTATGGAAAAAAGTCTATCACTACAAGAAAATTCTGCTCTTTGGCATCACACCAGAACAGAAGCTTGACACGGTTGAATTTAATTCGTAGATGCAAATTGGCAACAATATTCGACATAAATACAACATATCAAGTAACGATATTCGTATGCCACATTGCCCAATATGCCTGATCATCCGCTTAACCAACGGCAAAATGCGTCGCATAATGTTGGGAATGTAGTATCTCTCTTGCTTTCCTTTTGATTGGTTACTTTTATAAAAAAAACATCAGACACAGTGAGTAGATCTTTTTATAGATTTAAATTCCTCAGACGTTCAAGACGCATATTTTGGTTGTAGCTATTGATGATTAATAAAAAACAAATTTTCCAGAGAATAAAGACATATTTTTTTTTTTCAATAAAGAAAGAAAGGAATCATATGTCAATGACGAAATTTGTTTGTATAGAAATAAATTCCTCAGAGACAAATTTCTTAATGTAGAGAAATTCTTCTGACACCAGGGATGGTCGTATGACGAATTTTTATGTTTTTGACTGTCAAAAAGGTGTAAACGTCGAAAACGTCATATACCTGTATAAAATATAATAAATGTAGTAAACGTCATTTATTTCAATATTATAAGCGTGTACAGGTATTTTCAAGAATATATATTATTTTTACATATTTCTGACTATTCCTTACTAGAAATGATAACAAATTCTAAGCTTTTTTGAAAAGAAAATTTTGAAATTCGATATGGATTTAAGTAAAACATACGTAAATTCCAAATTAATTAATGGAAACACCATTTTGTCAAAAACCTAATGGGTTTGTGTGGGTTTCCGACGTTTCTGACGTATGTATTATACGTTGGAAATGTATGTAATTTACGTCACTGTTTCTGACGGACCATCTCTGTCTGACACGAAATATTTTTTCTTATGGAAAATATGACAATTTGCTCTATAGAAAATAGTTCCCAGGCACAGAGAACATATTTTTTCTCAATAGCAAATGGTTCAAACTCAAATATTGGGTATTGATTTTTTTCTATAGACACAATACAATATGTATTTCACTTGGAGATAATTTCTTATTTAATTAGCTGGCTTGTGAAAGGACTTTCATTCCATAAGCCAAGCTTAATAAAGATTTCTAAGCGCGTCGGTCGTTCGCACAGTTTTTCAAATTTGAAAGATTATATTCGGCAATATTGACTTCCACTTGATCTTTTTATCTTATTCGAGGCCTTCCCCTTCTGCGTGCAACATCAGCTGGTTCGCTTTTATATGCCTTTTGGGCTGGGGCATCTTCATCCATTCTCACAACATGACCTAACCAACGTAGTCGCTGCAGGCTGCAGCTCAATACATCTAACAAGGTCGATGTCCGAGAATAGCTGGTACAGCTCATGGTTCATTCGACAGCGATATTCACCGTCAACGCAGATCTGCCCATAGATCTTTCGGAGAATTTTTCTCTCAAACACTCCAAGAGCTGCCTCATCTGCTTGCGTAAGTACCCATGCTTCAGATCCATATAATAGCACGGGTAGTATCAGCGTTTTGTAGAGTGTGGAGATAATTTCTGTGGAGATAAATTGAAATATTTCTATATGAAATCCTTAGACACTTCTGAACTTATTCACCTCTTGAAGATTAAAAACATATTTTTTCAATAAAAATACCCTTTTTAAAGGGAAAATTCATCTGTGAATGACGACAGTGTTTTCTATAGAAACAAATTCCTCAGAGACAAATTTTTTAATGGAGAAAATTTCCTCTGACACGAAATATTGCTTTCTATGGAAAATTTGG